ACTGCAAGGTGATCTGTAATTACTTACATAATAGCATTAAAAATGCAATGTAGAGTAGAATTTGCGTCAAGAGAGTAGGATTTTCATTTTAGATTTTCGTTGGTATGCATGGATAGTCAGTCATTCAGAATCCTACTTGCCCTTGTTTCCATTACTTTTTTATGAATTTGCTCTAGAATCCTACTCAACCTTGTTTTTTTAAAAAAATTTTATGTTCGTTAATAAGGGGGTGTTGGCCAAATTTTGCCAAAAATGTCAAGTTGAGAATTCTAAATTTTTATAACATTTTCTGATGCACATACATGTTCTTATATTGTGTAGAAAGTTTGAGCAGATTCTGATTAAATTTGGATTTTTTATGAATTTTTTAAGTTGCTCCAAAATCGAGCCAAAGTCCCTGTACTATAGTACAGGGGCGTTGGCTAAAATTTGCTATAAATTTAAAGTATAGAATTTTCAATTTTTATAACATTTTCTGATGCACATACATGTTCTTATATTGTGTAGAAAGTTTGAGCTGATTCTGGTTGAATTTGGACTTTTTATAAATTTTTAAGTTGCTCCAAAATAGAGCCAAATGTACATGTACATAAAGCACAGAAGAACTCTCAAATAAAAATGTATGAAAATGTAGAAGCTATTGTTAAAATAAAGATGGGAAATAGAAGCACAGGCTTTTGCATGTACAAGGATTTATAGCACAATACAACAATGCTTAAATCCCATACACAATGTATGCAATTATACATGTACATGTACACTGCACATACCTCATCCTCTTGTTCATGAAGTTGTTTAGATAGATCAGTTTCCTCCAGTGTCTGTCCTTGAGCTGCCAGTTCTTGGTTCAGTTGCTGGATCCTGTCCCTCTTGATATTACCAGCACTCACCAGTACACTCTTTAGGGCTCTCAGACCAAAGTCATAATGAGACTGATTGGATAACTCCTCATCACACAATCTATAAAGAGAGAGAAAACAAGAAGCTTAAACTTTAAAGGGAAAGATATACATGTACATGTACACATTTGCATGTTAAATTTGCATGATGTGACTATATGCATTATGTACATGTACATGTAGCTGTAAAGGCTAAAGTACATGTACTTTACATGCAAAAGAATGATTTTAATCCTCAGACAAATGCCTCGTTATTCATCAAATACCAAAACCGTTTTGACCGGTTTTACAACTTATGGCTCGTCATCTAATGCTCATAATAAGAACACTTCTAATTAAAGCCCATGCAACTCTAATTAAATCCCAACATTTGCTTACTTAAAGAAAGGTCCTATCTTGCTAGTGAGTGTCTCGGCAGTCCTGAAACCCTGAGAGTACAACATCACCTGGGCAATAAGGGGTCGGTCAGGCTTTGTCATAGCAAGACTAAAAAAGGCAAGAAATAAAATAAAAACATGTACAATTATTATTATTATTATTATCATTATTATTACTATTAATTATTATTAATAATTGGTTGATTTTCAGACAAATGCCTCAAACAATCATCATTACAATAAGGCAATCAACAGGCAAACTCGTTTGACCAGTTGACAGTGACAGATCATCTCATCATCTGACATCATCACTAAATCACATGACAAGAAAAATGTACATGTAGAGGTACATGTACATGTACAGTACATGTAATTAAAAAATTGAACTATAAAGTTTGTTTTACAAAACACAAAGTACAGTGTAGGAGGAAAAAAACCACACTCACAAAAATTAATTAATTAATTATGTTAACATGCAATTGATTTCTTACCTTCTCAATAATTGCTTCAAGTTGTCCAGTAGCTCGTAGGATCTTCCAGTAATACAGTCACTGACAGACGACAAACAAATAATCTTGTTGTTTCTTGCGGAAATTTTACATCAATGACAGCAACAAGTGTAGCATACACCTTAGTAAAGGTGGGTGAGGCCGACTGAGCTGTAATGACTGCAAGTGCAAATAATCCTCTAAAAATGTCGAAAATGAATAATTAGAGTAAATATCTTACCGCCCACGAACTAAATTTTCTTGTACTAACTCCTTGACAATGTTGGCAATATTTGACACATTGACCTGAGGAGGTGTGTCTGTGATCATGTGACAGTCATGTGATTGTACGTACCTTGTTAATTAGACGATTAATACTTTTTTTAAGAGCCTCCCATGCCATCCTTTGATATGGAGCACTAGAGAGAAAGAGAAAATTAAAAAAATTAATAATTTTAAAATAACTAAAATTCCCATACCTGGTCTTATCTGTGCTTGCATGATTTTTTATTGAGCTGGGGGGAATATAAGCCCCACCTACATTAATTAATAAACCAAGGTTGCGATAATACAAACCACACCCACCTGTCTTTGTCAAAATGGACTCATTGTCTTTCTTTCTCTTCTTCCCCCACTCACTGGCACCATCATCATCTCTTGAAGCATCTTCTCTTGTATCACTGTATTAATTAAAACCACACCCACTAATAAAACACACCCATTACTAATTAACTATAATGCAATTTGGACGAATAAAAGGTTTGGCAGATATCTATTTTGTGGTCATATGCCATTGAGCATGCATAACAATTGTTTAAAATGGTGGGTTTTATTTTGACAAATGGCTATCGAAATGCAATCCAAAATAACCCACTGTACAATATTAATATCTTACGGTGATGGAGATTTCTTTCTTTTGTGTGGTAGCTAAAGAGAAAGAGTTATTATTAATTAAAGACATACATACTGTATAAGTCTTACCAGGAGTGCACTCCTGGTCTTACTTATAAGGCCATTTAAATAACATGTGATGTCACGTGGTAACTTTAGTTAATAAATGTGGTGCGCATGCGCAATAATAGATTCAGTTTTGGCCACGTGACACTTTATGGTGTCTTTCCGTTCTTTACATTATGGTTTCTTTACATTATGGTGTCTTTACATATGGTGGTATGAAAGAAGAGGCCAGAGCGCAGTAAGGGTCTAAGGGATAATCTTTTAACTACTTTTGTTGTTTGGTAGGAGTTTCCAATGTATACGAACTGTTAGAAGTCTCCTTCGCCTACCCTGGACTGGAGTAATTACAATAGAAGAATACTGAGCGGACACTACTATGGACCACTATGAATAGATGAAGAGGAGTATGAGAATTAGTCTAAAATATCCATAGTCTAACGAAGAAGCCCGCCACACTATTAGAAGAAATACTTACGGTATGTGTGTGTGTTAATATTTTAGTATTTAGTAGATGTGGTAATTAATGCATGTAATATACCATTATACAGTAGTCTCACTGCCCAGACCCCCCCTACTTTGGTAGACGGCCAGTTCAAACGGCTTAGCTATAGTTGTCTTTAAGTTGAAGAACAAAGGGATAAATCAGAATTCAGATTTTTGATGTGGATTTATCATGTGGTAATTGCATTTTGTTAGCAGTAGTCCAGGCCTAATGTGGCATCTAACTGTGTAGCTTGTGGAAAAGAAGTTGTTTTAGGTCATTGACAACTATTAGGAGTAATGACTGTAATCACTGTAATTACAGTGTGCTTTTGGGATAAAATTAATGGACAAAATGATTGTTAAAAATTAATGGC